ATGTATATATATATATATATATATATATATTTGCTTTTTTATAAAGAGTTTATTTCCAAAGTATGAAATAAATTATGAAAGGTTTCTATTTTTCTATATAGTGAAATAAATGAGAATAAGAAAAACATATTTGGGAAGAATAACACTATGCTTTCATATATTCACGTCTATCTAGCCAAAGAATAGCCTGGCATTTGCTTCCTTTAAAATTGAATTTGAGGGAAATTATAAAGCCTTCCTAATAGCCAGAATGACAGAAATTTCTTGAAGCATTTGGTATAACATTTAGGGGTCAATACGTTTATTATATATCAACGAATTTCAAATATCCAAAAAGATAAAAGAAAGGGAGCCATAAATTTCAAAGATGAAAAAAAATGAGCTAACTATATTTTAATGAAAATTGCTGAGAAAAGTTGACCCTCTTTTCTTAACAGTTTTGTATCTCTTTATGGTCCAAGATATATAATTGATAAAATTAATTGCTCAGGATATCCCTGAGCACACATATGTCTGCTGGTGCATTTCTCTCAACTAAAATATTTAATATGTCACTTTTATTTTACTTATGAAATTATTCACACCTGACTTTCTTTCAGTGACATTCTAGAGATATCCTTTGAAAGTACATATAGAAGGCATCTTCCAGAAGTTCTAATGAAATGGCACCTTTATCTTAAAAGAACAACAATAAAATTGGTGAGGTCTCTCAGGCTGCTCACTATATAATGCCTCAAGGAACTCAGGATTAAGCAGTAAAATCTTAAGAAAATATGAGTCTTCTGAGGAAACAGTGAAATATACTAGATGACACATTTCACTCTTTCCCATGCCTAGAGTTCTTATTCTAGTTGAGTGTAAAAATAATTTTGATTACAAAGGTGATAAACCACCACAGGCATGGATTAAAGACAAGAAATCTTCTGAAGGAGAACATACTTATTGGTTCGGGATTGTTTTGGGCATCTGATGGCTTCTGTGTGATTTACAAACTGCCTATCAGCCCTTTTTCAGGACACTACTTTCTGCCCAGAGAACAGAATGCTGTAAATGAAGTCGGTTTTTAATCATTTTTTGCAAAGTAGTATTAACACAGTATGTCATTTATGAATGATTGGTCAGAAGAAACACTGTTGAGTACGTGTACAACTATTTTACATTTTGTGCTATAAACCAGCAACATCATCATATTCAATGAGAAGCAGTCTCTCTGGTTCCCAATATTATTCCAATGACTCTGAACGGCCAAGTCCTGAAGCTCCATGATAGTAAGAAAGTTAAAACGCTCACCATCCTCTTCGTTCTGCCAGGCCTCTCCACAGAGAATCCGTCCTGACCATTCTCTCAATGAGCTTCTTCCATAACATGCCATCAGATGTCACTCGGTACCATTCCTTACATACAAGTTCAGCAGCACATAGTGATTTGGCATCCAGGTATGACAGAATGTTCTCAGCAATGTGATCCAAACCCCGAGCTGTTGGGTTTGGGGGAGGAGGTAAAGAAGAGAAGCATAGGTGGTGAATGATTTTTTACAAAAGGTCCTTAAAAAAAGAACAGCATTTATTCCGTTCTGAAAGCATATCACTGTCCCTAGTGTGGTCCAGTTTCTTTTTCAAACAGAAACTTGGGTAAAATGAGTGTCAATAATTTTTCCATAAGGTTACAGAAATGAACAGTATTTTCCATCTTCCTTTAGATAAGGAAGTTAGAGCTAACAACTAGCAAACCCCCCAAGACATTAAAAATAAAAAGGATTCCAGAAAACAATTCACATCTATCTATATGGATTTCAGCACTAGGGGATGTTCTATGGATGGCATCTCAAAGTCTGTGATTCAGACCCCCCCAAATCTCTATATTAGGTCCATTTCTCATTCTGTTTCTATTACTGCTGCAGTTCCAAAGCTGTTCAGTAAAAGAAATATCCTTTAAATGTACTAGGGGAGAGGCACTAAGTCAGAATGTGCTGGGTTATAGAATTTTGGGCATGCAGAAAGAAGAGAAGAAGGAAATACAGATTGGTATGGGAACATCCCAAGAGGAAAACAGAGAGGTATGTTTAAGTTCAAGTATGAGTTTAATTTCAAGTGTTTAAAAAAACTGTATTTGAGAGTAGTTGCTGCTATAAAGCCTACATGACAGCTGACCAAAAGATGAAAAAAATCCCAGACCACTAAATAACTTGGTTAGAATTTCAGAGACCATTTTGTAGGATGTATAGAGGAAAACAATGGAAGTAGATCTTGGGCTTCCTAAACTGGATGGGCTTCCCAGTTAAAATACTCTACCACCCAAATCTGTACTGAGGCCTCAGAGAAATAGATACTATAAAACAGGATGATCACACGAATAAAGTTTTTGGCTATTGTTCTAATTCACAAATGAGACAAACACATTCACGGTTATTTCTTTTTCGGGTTACATATCAGAGGTGTGCTAAAGACTTAAATAGTGCAGAAGGATTCCTTCATACTCTGACTCCCTCAGGCACAAACTTAACCAAAAGGAAAGAGAATACCACATTTCATTTTGTGCCTTTCCCTTGAATCACACAAAGACACAGTTGGACACCGTTAGCAACAACCCAAACGTGCTTAAACATTATTCTAATTATAAAATTGTATGGATATCAGTCACATTTTTCAGCAGATTTGGAGAAGAAAGCATTAAATGGATTTTGTTTGGCTGGCATCACATGTTCATATTTAAGCATAAGCAGATGGAGGCATCCATCACTTAATTCTTATTAAAGGAAAATGACTATAACCCAATTAAAGATATAATAATTAGTTCTTCGTGAAAAAAAAAAAAACAAAAAACAGTGATGGTACAATTCCTGCACCTTTAAATTGAAACTTTCTATGCCATCAGAAGTTTCCAAAATTCATTCCTGTGTTTTTAATGGCTGTCATCAAATTGTTCCTGATCTTCACTATATCCCTATAGTAAGTCTTTGGAAGTAATTTCACCTAACACTCTAAACAAACCCATTACATTAATGGATTATAGGCATTTTTTGAAGTAGTTTGGTTTACTAAATGTAGCCAGATGGTGTAGGTTTGTAAGTTAAAATGGCCATAAAGCATTAGCCTGATGATTTAATATCTTATAAAGTGGTCAGCAGATACACACCAGGGATCAGGATTAGGCAAAGGATACACAGATCTCATCAACTCCTGCTCAATTCTTAGTGGTATATGCTTGAGATAGTAGCATGTCTCAGTAGCTGGGGAGAGCACAGTAATGAGGTACACACAGATTGTTCACACAATGAAAACTGTTTGCCTATGGCTAAAACAAAATCCAGTGAGGGAAGAAGGGGCAGAAGTCTATTCTATTTAACAAAAAATATAGATACAAATTTAGTTTTAAAATGGTTATTTCTAAGATATAAATAGGTATTTCTTTTGTTTTAAAGGGTGATTTAAATTCCAATTTTGGAAAAACAAACAAAAAAATTAATTGGCCAAGATCAAGCAAAGTAGTAATATGCCTTTTGGGGGAGGGTTGGCATATTTTTGAAGAGGACAGTTTGGCACAAGTATTAAAAACCTTGAAAATATTCATAATAATATTTCTGTTACTTCTTCCTAGGAAAAGACTAGTGAATAAGAATGTCTACCACAGCAAAGTTTACAATAGGAAAAACATTTTAAACTACCTAAGTGTCCAAAAAAGGGGTTAAATAATATATGTTTTGGCCCCCATAAAGAATATATAATACTATAAATAATTATGTTTTAAAAGAACACTCAGGAAAATACATTAAGAGAACACAGTAAGAAAAAAATGTTACAAATGTTTTAGAAGGAAATATACACACCTAGAAAAAACAGTAAGGCTACATGCCAAAATATTAATAGCATATTAGCAGCTCTCTCTGAATGGTGGTGTTCTGGGAAATTTTATTTTTATATTTTAAATGGTTTTGAATTTTCTAAATTTCCTATAACTTCTATAATCAGGAAACAATTGAAAAAAAATAAAAACATGATATAATAATATTTTAGAGATTCACTCATCTTTTGTACTATATGTTCTTTTATAGCTTTTTTAAAAAATGTTTTTTAATGTTTTTATTTATTTTTGAGAGAGACAGAGCAAATGGGAGAGGGGCAGAAAGAGAGAGGAAGACACAGAATCTGAAGCAGGCTCCAGGCTCTGAGCCGTCAGCACAGAGCCTAATGCAGGGCTTGAACTCATGAGTTGTGAGATCATGACCTGAACTGAAGTCGGATGCTCAACCAACTAAGCCACTCAGGCGCCCCGATACTGTATGTTCTTTTAAAATAAACTTTTAACACAGAGGACAACCTTGTATTTCCTCGAGACAGCATTTCCTCCAAATACTGATGTCTACAAAGTATCCTAGGATCACCATCAAGCATTCAGTAAAACCACCACATCATCTTCCACAAAAAATGTATTTTAAGTGTGTGAGCTTGTGCATGTGTGTATTCAAACATATATTTAGCTTACGATAAATGTTTGGTTATTGAGAACAGTGAGGTTGCAAAGCCTGGTGTTTACAAATTATTGTCACAAGGCTCCTGAGGTATCTTTCTTTACAAAATACTCACTTAAAAATTCAGTCCCATAATTTAAATTATTCTGTTGACAAATTCCCATAGAAATCCAAATCCAAGTACATAAGTTAACATATCTTGAAGCTAAGACACATTATCAAGGTAGCACCTCACAAAAAATTTTATCTGTACCTCTCAGTGGGTAAGAACAGGGTGACTAGAAGGGTAGGAGATCCAGAGAAGACTGGGGAAAGAAGAGTCTCTATTTCCAGAGTTTGATGTTTTGGGTATTTATACCCCAAGAAGGTAACATTAAAGAACTCAGTTTATAAAAATCAAGCCAATAAAGACTTTTAAAAAGAAAGATGAAGATCTAGTTCCTTACCATTGTCACATATCTTCTAGGCAAATTAATGGCTCACAAACACCCAGAGACCTACCTGGCAGAGCAGTTATGAAATCCCTCTGCAGCATAGGTTTAAGATATGAGTTTATGTGTCCATGTTGGTAATGACACATTTGGGATATAAGATGTTCTACAAATTCCACTTGATCGGACTCTGACCACTGCTCAAAATATTTGACACACAGCTCCTTTTCCTTCTCATAGCTTGCTGAGAGTTTTCGTTGCTTGGGCACAATCATACTGGAAGTGCCATTGGCAAGTTTCGTCTGTAGAAGGAGTGGATTAAAAGAAACATGAAACAGTAAGTACTGAAAATGAGGGAAATATATAATTTTCTGGTCTGGCATGCTATATGATGTCTACATGACAGAGCTCACTCTGTTACTCTATTAGTAATTGGATGCTTATGAATAGCAATTACATAGAAAGCCACACAAAGACCACAGTAAGTTGGGAAATCAGAAATAGTGTTGGATGACTAGATATTCATGTCTAAAAGTTCACAGGAAGATATTATTTGGAGATACACAGATGAAAACTGAAAGCTGAAAGCATGTTAAGTTATTATTACTAGCAAGCAAAAAAGCTAATTTGCTTTTTTTTTTTTTGTATACACCAGTTACTGGACATTTATAGAATTACTTACTCACAACTTATTTTTTACTAATCAAATAAGAAACCTTCCATGCAAAGAAAGGCCAATGAATAATCTGAAACTCTAGTACCTTGGAGATAAAGCTTAAATATAACATGTATATGTTCAACCTACCCTTTTCCTTCTAAAAAGGAAATCAAACTTACATGCCATACAGTCTTTCTATTAATTAGTTAGCTCATTAAGAAAATATCAACTGAGCATCTACGATGTGTCAAACACTGTCCTAGGTGCTAGGAATACAACACTGAACCAAAATAACAGTGTCTGTTATCAGGAACTTATATTGTAGTATGTACAGCAAGATAAAAACATAACCAAAGGGGCGCCTGGGTGGCGCAGTCGGTTAAGCGTCCGACTTCAGCCAGGTCGCGATCTCGCGGTCCGTGAGTTCGAGCCCCGCGTCGGGCTCTGGGCTGATGGCTCAGAGCCTGGAGCCTGTTTCCGATTCTGTGTCTCCCTCTCTCTCTGCCCCTCGCCCATTCATGCTCTGTCTCTCTCTGTCCCAAAAATAAATAAACGTTGAAAAAAAAAAATTAAAAAAAAAAAAAAACATAACCAAATACTGGAAAATATAATGTGCATAGTGCTATTAAGAAAAATAAGGGGATATGGGGCGCCTGGGTGGACCAGCTGGTTGAGTATCCAACTCTTGATTTCAGCTCAGGTCATGATCCCAGGGTTGTGCAACTGAGCCCTGCACTGGGTTCCATGCTCAGTGTGGAGCCTGTTTCAAGATTCTCTTCCTCTGCCCCTCTCCCCCACTCTCACTCTCACTCTCTCTCAAATAAAAGATTAAAAACTTAAAAAAAAAAAAATAAGGGGATAGAAAAAAAAAAAGTATACATTATTGTACTAGGCAAAATTCTAAGATGGCTCCCCCCAAGATTCTGGGCCTTTGGTATGTATGTATGTGTGTGTGTATATATGTATATATCTTCTCTCAGCTATTCGAAAAACACATAGGCACTGCTTTGATTTAATTAAGGTGCCAAATCAGCTGACCTTAAGATAGGGAGATTACTGGAGTGCGTTTGACCTATCAAATGAGCTCTTTAAAAGCAGAGAGCTTTCTCCAATTGGTTACTGAAGAAGAAGGGGACCACATGGCAAAGGATGTGGTCAGCCTCTGGGAGTTGAGAGAGCTCCCAGATGACAGCCAGTAAGGAAACGGGTACCTCAATACTACAAAGGCAAGGATCTGAATTCTGCTGACAACAATGAGCTGAGAAGAGGATTTTCCCCCAGAGCTTCCAGATGAGAATGCAGCCTGGTCAGCACCTTCATTTCAGCCTTGTGACACTCTGAACAGAGGACGTGGCCATGCTATGCCAGACTTCTGACCTAGAAAATTGTAAGCTAATGAATGGGTGTTATTTTATCCTGGTAGTTTGTTATGCAGCAATTAAAAAAACACAAAAAACTAATATAATTATTTAAGCCTAAGGGGTCAGAGATAGTTTCCCTAAAGAGATGACTTCTGAACTGAGACATGAAGGAAATGAAGAAATTAGACATTTTGTTATATGGGGGAAGAATGGTCTAGGGCAAAGGGAATTTGAGGGCAAAGGTCCTGGGTGGCACAGTCTGTCTGGCATTTTTAAGGCACACCAAAAAGGCCCAGGTGGTTTGAACCAAGTGAACAAGAAGTAAGCTGGAGTAGTTCAAGCCAGTTCATCCAGGTCATTTAGGTGGGAGCAGCCAATCTCCAAGACGGCCTGAAACAATTCCATCTCTCCCTGAACACTGAATGCTGTTCCTTCCATCAAAAGGCAGAGTTTGTCTTAGCCTTTGAATCTGGGCTTTGGCTAACAAAGTGTGGAGAAAGTGACATTCAGCTTCTGCTTACTTCTTAGAGTCTTGAGCTACCCAGTAAGAAATTCAGGCTACCGTGCTGGAAAGGGAACTCAGGAAGATGAGCAGCTATGGAGAGAGAGAGAGAGAGAGAGAGAGAGAGAGAGAGAGAGAGAGTGACAGAGAGAGAGATCACATAGACAAGCACCTAGAAGCCCTAGAGTGACATGATCTGACTTCTTTTAAATGGAGCATGGCTATGTGAACAACAGACTGTAGGGGACATGAATGGAAATAAGGAGACTGATTAAAAGACTACTTCGAAGTAGTCCATGGAAGAGAACAATCTTTTGGACTAGGGCTGCAGAGGTAATGAGAAATAATTGGGACTCAACGTATACTTTGAAAGCTAAGCAAACTGAACTTGCTGACAGACTGGACATGGGGTATGAGAAAAGAAAGAAGACAAGGATCATATGCAAGTTTGAAGCTGGGGACACTTTTCAAAGTACTTTGATAGATCTTCGGCACATTTGCCTGAGGCAATTCCAATTTGGCAGGAAGGCCAATGTTACTATGTAGCTCATACCTGCCTAGACATATTGAACGTGCTATAAAACTATCAAATTTGGATAATCAACTTCTGCTATTCAAGGCACAGGCTGGCTTAATTTCTAAATGTTAAATCCTACATGCAGGTTTCTTTACAAATGATCCATGAAACACAATTCAAAGTGTATGGTCAAGAATGACATTAGCCATTCTGTTTACACGAAAGAGCTGACACCTGTAAGCAGCAGGCTCTGGTATACAGAGTTGGGTGTTTTCTAGCATAAGTGCCACTGTGGTCTATGATACAGACTAAAAATGATTAATAAGAAGCTTGTTGGACACAGGCCTTGGGGGACTTCAGAGCTATTTTGGGGTAGGTTATTTGTTTGCATTTCAGAAAAGAAAAATTTGTGAAATATGGAGTAAGATTTAGTGAGCTAATGAATAGGTGGGTGCACAAGCTTCACCAACACCACTTCTCATCTCAACAACCCAAACCTCCCCCTCCATCATCTTTTATAATTGTCTTTTTGTCTTTTAAAAGGTGGAAATGGGTTGGAGTTGGATGCTACCCTAGGTTATTGTTTTCTTGCTAAAGACCAGAAATGCCAGGAACAGAGAACAATAATCGGCATGGTAATGAAATGATTCTATTTATAATCTTCAACAAACCAGATGTTTCTAGAATCACAGGGAGTCATGCTTTGATCAGTGGCTATCAGACTATTAACAGATAAAAATGCCTAAGGATTTCACAAATTTGGTTATCCCACTGCAGGAGCTAAAGTTCATCCAGGACTTCCTTGTATTTTCAATGATCCAATCATAAATAGGACCTAAAACATTTGGCTATTAGAAATGAAGTATAAACTGATAGTTCATGTATGTACCAACTGTCTGGGCTACTCCAGCTGGTACTACATTTTAGTCACAACTTCCAAAACAGAGTATTTCCTTGTGAGGTAGGAAAACACACACCTTAGACCCATTATTGCTTTGAATGAGTTGCTTACTCTTAACCTCTACACCACACTGTGTTTTTTAAGAGTTGTGGTCCTACAGTAGTACAAAGACCTGGTTTCAAACTCTAGCTCCACGATTTACTAGCTGTGTGTCATGGAATAAGCAACTTGATTTTTTTTTTTTTTTTTGAGTCTTTGTTTCCCTCATATTGCCAATGGGGATAATTACACAATATATTCCACTGGGTTTTTGTGAGGATCAAATAAAATAATCTAAGAAAAGCATGCTTAGTTTACTACCTGGCACACAGTAAAGTGCTCAATAAATCAACACTCCTAATGAACTTATGACACTGCTGGAATTGGACTTTCCCTCTTCTTTTGAAAATACATACTTCTGGGGCACCTGGGGAGCTCAGGCAGTTAAGCATCTGACTCTTGATTTTGGCTCAGGTCATGATCTCACAGTTTGTAGATTTGATCCCCATGTCAGGCTCCATGCTGATAGTGCAGAGCCTGCTTGGGATTCTCTCTCTCCCTTTCTCTCTCTGTCCCTACC